TAATTGCACATGTGTAATTGATAGAGGGCTATAACAGGGATAATTGAGAGAGGGCTCTGTGACATAGAATTGATTAAGGGGCAGGTAAAAGGACTCATGAAGGGAGATAATGGGAAAGAGGGAAGAACACGGGTCTAGAAGCTAGTATGAGAGTGTTTTGAGTCGCGTGGCCTGCCACAGTCTCTGAACTGGTTACAGCCAGGCTATGTCCTCAGGGGCGCATGTGTGGCAGGAGACCCTAGTGCCCTTGGTTAGAATTGAGCTTGAGATAACAGGATCCTTTCCCAGGTACCAACACCAGTCTTGCACATTTTTAGTTAATCATCTAGAGAACGTAAATGGCCTGATGGGATTGTGAGGGAAAGTTGAGAAAATTCATGTGAAATGGCTTTGAAAATAGCAATGAACAAGGCAAATGCTCGATGATAGTGTAAGAAGCAGCTCCTTGCCTTAGCTGTTTTTCCTCAAAAGTTTTAGTTCCCTCTATTAGGAGTATATTTTGTGGTACCAAATTTTTAAAAATGTATCTTTAATGTTGAAAGTATTACAGATGCCCCTTTATTTTCCCTATTGACACCCATACCCCATCGCCCCGTCCTGCACCCGCTCCCTGCCCCAGGCCTTCATCACACTATTGTCCGTGTCCATGGGTTATGCAAAATGCATACAAGTTCTTTGGTTAATCTCTCCCCGCCCCTCCCACCTACCCCCATCTTCCCTCTGAGATTCATCAGTCTGTTCCATGCTTCTATGTCTCTGGATCTATTTTGTTCATCACTTTATTTTGTTCATTAGATTCCACATATGAGTGAGATCCTGTGAGACTTGTCTTTCTCTGACTGGCTTGCTTTATGGGACACTAAGGGGTTCTGTCTTCTTAAGGGGACTGGGTTTAAGTTGGGTGATATTTTTGTGGGTGCACTTGGGGAGCCAAGGATAAGTTATGCAATAGATTCCATGTTGTAGCAGGGCCAGTGATACCTCTGCTCCTTCACCATTAGCCAGTCTGAATACTCTGGTCCCACCAGGGGTTTTTAGCTCCAGATAAATGACTGAAACTTTGTTAGTCCAGTGGGGTTAATAACATGTGTGGCTTTTCTGTTTTCACCAGTTTGTCTGGGACTCACAAAAGAAGGAAAGGAACACAGAAACATGTACTGTAAAGTATCGCCGCTGCTTATCTGCTGTTTCAAATTCAGGCTCCGTAGTCAGCAATCTGGCAACATTTGCCAGCATTAGTTTTATTCCATTTGTATTCCAAGTCGCAGTTTCCTTTGAGATGCACTTTAGTGCTTAAGATCTATTTGTCAGCTGTTATTTAAAGGAACGAGTAAATTTGTCAGTATTCAGTAAACAAAATAACCCAGAGAGAAGAAAGTTTGAATCTGATTTTGTTAAATGTAAGCTCCAATGAAGAGGACTAGTTAACCAATCACATGTAAGTTAGTCACTTTTACCATAGGTTAGTTGATTTTAATTTCTCTAAAGACCCAGGTTCCAACTCTTGTTATAGTGGGCATTTAAATAACTCACTTGTTTCCTGAGCCACATCCAATACCTTTTAGGAATTGCTCAATATCAATACTCATATTTTATGCCAGGATATCCTCAGTGAAGTATTCTAGATCTGTTAGGGAGCTAATTTTTAATGTGTGTTGTGTATCTTAGGGAAGTAACTGGAAGGCACTTTAAAAAAATATTCATTTTTATTGAGTTCAGAGAGGAAGGAAGAGGGAGAGAGAGAGAGCAACACCAATGATGAAAGAGAATCATTGATTGGCTGCTGCCTCCCGCATGGCCCCTACCAGGGATCAAGCCTGCAACCCAGGCATGTGTCCTGACCTGAACCTCCTGGTTCATAGGTCTGTGATCAACCACTGAGCAACACTGGCTGGGCTAGGAAGTACTTTTTAAGATAGAAAGAAAAAAAATGGAAATGTTTGTAGAAAGTTAGATTCCTCTTTTTTTAAAAAAATATTTTTTTATTGATTTCAGAGAGGAAGAGAGAGGGAGAGAGAGAGATAGAAACATCAGTGATGAGAGGGAATTAATGATTGGCTGCCTCCTGCACGCCCCCTACTGGCGATCGAGCCCACAACCCCTGGCATGTGCCCTTGACCGGAATCGAACCTGGGACCCTTTGGTCCACAGGCTGATGCTCTATCCACTGAGCCAAACTACCTAGGGCTAGATTCCTCTTAAACAGGCCTTTCTTCACAATTAAAGATATAAAGCCACTGCTACAAATTAAACAAAATTCAGATGGACGTATGAGAACCTCAGCCTTCAATTTTAAGAAGCGTGTTGCTTTTTAGCACATGAATATAAGTCAATGTTTCATGCTTAGATTCGGTAGGCTTTTTTGCTACTGCAGATTGCATATGGGAGCAACTCAATGCTCTTCTCCCCATCCTTCCAACATCGAGGTTTCAATAGCAGCTTGGAAAAGGAATAATGAGTTTGTAAGTCCTCATCTTCTAGTTGAAGTTAATGAAAGGTTCATTATAGCTGGCGCCTATTTCACGTTTGGTTTCTATTATCACACAGTCTGAGTGGACCCAAATAATGGTCATGAAAAGGCCTAGCACAGCCATGTGGTTTCTCTTGTACTTTACTGGTTTAGACAAGCAGAGATGAAACTCAAGTCCTCTCCATTATCCGAAGCACTGGAGGCGGATTTTGTGTCTTTCTGTTTCCCTGCTCTGCATATTGGATCTTTCCTGCGGCACATCCAGGGTGAGCTAGGTGAAGAATCAGCCACGTGCCACATAACTAGTAGCAACAGACAACCACCGGTGTTTGAGTCACTTACTCGAGACTTCTGTATCTGATCCCCCCGTTAATTCCAGACCCAGCTTTGTTTTAATCAGTCCCCTCCAGTCTCTAATCTTACAGTTAGAATCTTACTCTGACTTGCATGGATTGGACTGTAGTTCTTCCTCTCCTAGGCAGATGGCCTTGATACTGTGTTGTGCCATCGGTGGAAACTTTATGTTCTAACTCAAGTTTTATGGGTTCCAGTTCCCATCATTGGTTACTTGACCAGCCTAGAACCTTTTTGAGCAGCAACCACTGCAATGCAGTAAGTTGCCTAAAATCCTCTTCTCTTTCATGTCCTCATGTTTCTCTATTAACTGTTGCTGACCATCCCAACTCTGTGTGCCATTAGATCTCAGGTGTGTGGATGAGTATTCTTTTTTTATGCTAATGGTCAGATATAGCAAATGCCAAGTAAATAAATATATAACCACATTTAGATGTTAGTCTTTCATTCTTGATCATTGAGAATAAAAGCCTGTTATCAAGACAGTAGTACGTAAGCACCCCTACGTTCATAGCAGTGCAATTTACAATAGCTAAGACTTGGAAACAGCCTAAGTGTCCATCAGCAGATGAGGGGATAAAAAAACTATGGCACACTTACACAATGGAATACTACACATTAAATAAGAAAGAACTCTTACCATTTGCAATGGCGTGGATGGACCTAGAGAGTATTATGCTGAGCGAAATAAGCCAGTCGGAGAAAGATAAGTATCACATGATCTCACTCATATGTGGAATCTAATGAAACAAATAAACTGATGATCAAAAATAGACCCAGAGTCATAGAAGCATAAACAGACGGTTGAACCTCAGAGGTAAGGCAGGGGAGGGTGGGTGGGAAGAGATCAACCAATGAACTTGTATGCATATATGCATAACCAGTGGACACAGACAATGGGGTGGTGAAGGCCTGGAGGCAGGAGCAGGCTGGAAGAGGTTAATGGGGAAAAAGGAGGACCTATGTAATTCTTTCAGCAATAAAGATTAAAAGAAAGAAAAAGACAGTAGTACTTTCTTTAGCAATATCTCTGTGTTCAGTGTATGTCTTCCAACATAATCTTATTTGAATTTTAATTGTTTAAAAGCCTTTTTTGATTAATTGATTTCTTATTTATGTACTGTTGCCACCACGGAGTATATATTTATTTGATAGTGTGCACTGGCATTAAATAATTAATTTTTATGAATTGTACTGGACGATATGTTTTACTTCACTAGAAGCATTTATTTGGTGCTCTCCTTTCCAGTGGGAGCTGGAAGATGGATTTTTCTCCCCTTTCCTTACACTTAAAAACACAATTCAGGGGCCAGAAAATTATCCATGTCAGGAACACTTTAGAAATTCTGTATTTTATATTGTGATACTGTCTTAATTCTTCTTTCTCAGTTAGAGGAAGGAATTCTTCCTGATTGGGCCTCCACCCATGCAGTCAGGAAACAATTGCTTACCACATCCATCACTTCTGTCTGCACGCGATCATGCTTCAGAGGCTCCCCAGTTAATCCCGTGGAAGCTAGAGTCACTCATAATTATAATCCTGTTATGCCTTCTTTATTTCTTGATGTGCTTGTTAATTCATGTCCATGCTGCAGTGGTCTGTAACATAGTGCTATTATCAGCTCTTTCGTCTTTAAAAGCCTCTTGTCTACCATTTTGACTAAGATTGATTAACTGCACTTTGTTGAAATCGATCATTTGGATTAAAAAATCTATCCTGTATATTTGTTCTGGCTACTTTTGCATGATTTCACCCTTTTTTCAGTTAATCAATCTGCCAAGCTGATGGCTTTTCTCTTGTTGGCTTCCTTTCTCTTGCTCTTTTCTTTTTTAAGAACTGTCTGTATCTTTATTTCTTACGTCCTCTCTTAGGCAGCAACCTCAGGAAGAAAAGGCAATTGTAGGAGGCAGTGGAATGAGTTCTCCCATTAGATCTCGGCTAGACACCACTCCCATTTCCCCTTTTCATTACACGAGAGAGAGGGTCCTGTCCTTAGTGATTCTCTCCCGATCTGGGGTGAAAGTTGTATGACTGCCTGCCAGGCACTTGGCAGACACTGTAACAGGCTTTTTATTTACAGCTTCAGACTTCTCTGTATTCTAATCTTACCAGGTGGACTCAAAGTTAGCACCAAGATTCTTTTGGACACACTCATATTTTCTTTTCTTCTCCTAGGTACTGACTTTAACATAGATAGCTTACCTCTGCCCCGGAAAGCCCACCATGACTGGGCCCTTTTCCATGAAGAGTCTCCAAAAAACAATTATAAGCTCTTTCATAAGCCAGTCATCACTTTGTTCAACTACACTGCCACATTCAGTCGCCATTCCCACCTGCCACTCACCACCCAGTACCTGGAGGACATAGGGGTCCTGAAGTCTCACCGATACCTGGTCCCTTTGCCGTCTAAAAACAACCTTCGGAAAAGACTCGCTCCACTGGTGTATGTGCAGTCAGACTGTGACCCGCCATCAGATAGGGACAGCTATGTTCGAGAGCTGATGACTTACATTGAGGTGGATTCCTATGGCGAGTGTTTACACAACAAAGATCTCCCTCGGCAGCTGAAAAGTCCAGCCTCCATGGATGCCGATGGCTTCTATAGGATCATCGCACAGTACAAGTTCATCCTTGCTTTTGAGAATGCAATTTGTGACGACTACATCACTGAGAAGTTCTGGAGACCTCTGAAACTGGGGGTAGTCCCTGTGTATTATGGATCCCCCAGCATCACCGACTGGCTTCCAAGTAATAGAAGTGCTATTCTCGTATCGGAATTTTCTCACCCTAGAGAACTGGCAGCTTACATCCGACAGCTGGACTCTGATGACAGACTGTACGAGGCCTATATGGAATGGAAGCTGAAGGGTGAGATCTCCAACCAGCGACTCCTCACAGCTCTCAGGGAAAGGACATGGGGAGTGCAAGACATCAACCAAGACAACTACATTGATGCATTTGAATGCATGGTATGCAGCAAGGTGTGGGATAACATTAGGCTTCAGGAAAAGGTAAGTGTCTCAAGGTTTGGCAGAGAGGTGCTAGGGGGCCATCTTGATGGTGTCTGCCATTTGGCGTCCTCCTGTGGCAGCTACCTCATTACCGCTCCTCATTCCCGTCAGAGAGGCCAGGCTCTGTAGGCAGGCTGACTATTCCTATCCTTTGAGGATTTCCATGGAGTTCACTGTCATGTCTTTCTTCCTTCAGGCCTTAGAGTCTCTTTATTGTTTCTTCTGGAGGACACCATGCTGCAGGTGCTGGGCAGTGAGACGGGAGGCTGCAGAAGGAGGAAAGAGGCCAAAAAATTTAAAAAACTTCAAAGTTTTGAATCTTGTCCTTTAATCTTTCACCTTTCTGTCAATGCTGTGGTTTTGGCCAGACCCCTTATACTCATGCCTCACTTTTCAGTTCACATACACAATAAATTAACCTCTCTCTTTCTTTGATTCCTGTTCTTTCTCCTCATGCTTTTTCATGTATAGAGAATATTCAAAGGATTATGGGAATAATCCTTAAAAGGTTATTTTTCTTAAATTATCCTATATAATAAAAGGCCAATAAACGGTAGAACAACCGAACAACCAGTCGCTATGACATGTGCTGACCAACAGGGGGTACGCGTGGACCATGGTGGGCGTCAATAGCAGGTGGCAGAGCGCAGAACATGGTGGGTGTCGACCACAGTGGGATGGTGGAGCAGGTGAGCGGGGCCACCAGACCAAGGCGGAGTGCTGGGCGCTGTCATCGAGACGAGCCTCTGGTGGTTACTGAAAGTTCTTTTCTCCCACGTGCTGTGGTCCCGCCTGGTGCTTGCACCTGCTGCCAGTGCTGGCCCCGCTCGTACCTGCAGCCAGTGCTGGAGCTGCCACTCTCACCCACTGCCGGCGCCCAGTGCTAGTCCCATTGCTCTGCACTGTCAGCGGGTGCAAGCAGCAGCTGCTGGCCCTGATCGCCCCTGAGGGCTTCTCCACCTCCTCCTGCTCCTGAGGGACATTCAGGGCAGCCGCCGCCGCTTGCACCCACTGCTGGTGCCAGCCCCACTTGCACCCACTGGCGGCGCCAGCCCTGCTCGCACCCACTGCTGGTGCTGGCCCAATCACTCCATGCTGTTAACGGCAGTGGGAGTGGGGCTGCTGGCAGACAGGGGACCAGCGGCTGCGGCGGGAGGGGCCAGGTGGGGGCACGGAGGATGGGCTGAGACCCGCACCTGTGCCCACTGCCGCCTCCTGGCCCACAGTAGGGGAGGGGCCAGGGGCACGGAGGATGGGCTGAGACCCGCCCCTGTACCCACTGCAGCCTCATGGCCCACAGTTCCTTTCAAGGTGTATGAATTCATATAAATAAAGTTCTTAGTCATGTCTTCAGAGTTCTAGATGGTTTTAACATTTGTTTGTTTAGTCACTTATACCAGGCATGCCCCCACTTTACATATAACTGAATTTTTATAAGGTAATTTATTGAAAGAAAAATTAGTTTCAACTACTATCTTTGAAATCTTTTAAAGATGAGAGGCCCCAACATAACACTTGGGTATCACCTATCAGTCCTTTGCCTACTCCCATATACACATAATGGTTTAAATAAATTCTCCAAAGGCAAATGTTTATTTTGACTAGTATATTAGTTTCTGGTTAAAAAGAAATCTAAACAGTGTGTGGAATTATTTTTATGTATTTTGTGTATACTATATAAAGCTTTTATATACTAAATATGTACTTAAAACATTATTTTCCTAATTTTAATTATTATGAAATTTTAAATTATTTTATCTGGTTTGATATGACAAATGTTTGCTCATAAAATAATTTATTTTAAGCTGAGTGCCTTGGTCAGCAACAGGAACACTTAATATTACATCATTCTTCTCAGAGAATGCATCCTAATGTCCAATGACTTCCTTTATGACCTAACTTATAGGGCCACATAACAGCAAAAACAAAATACACAGACTACTGCAAAAACACACGAGAAAGGAGAGATCATATTAATTGCCCATGCTATATCAATTATTTATTTTCAGAACATGCCAAGGCAGAAATAGAACTTCTGAGGGTGATGACTTGCCTGCTCTGTATTTAACAGTCCTTTTCAGGTTCGGAAATTATATTCACAGAAAACTGAATGACTTACACAAACCCTAACTGTTTCGGCACTTCACAGAAGCCCTTTTGGAAGGATTACTGGGGACTGGAAAAGAAGGGATAACAATATTGGTAAATAGCTTTTTAAAAGATATAGGAGAATCATACATTCCTGTATTTCCAACAAAAACAGATAACTGATATTTTAGCATGCCTGAGGGTGGTGTGATTCAATGTCCTTCTCTAAGGAGTCTTTGAAGAAACATACATAGAATAGGCTCTCCTCCACCTTGCTGTCAGTCTTCCCACAGTGCTGGTCAGCGAAGATGATAACTAGGCTTTGCTTGCATTTCAGTGAGCCTGTTACAGTTCTCTAATGCTAATGTGCTCGTTATTGAAAAGCAAACCAAAACATACCATGAAAGTAAATAGGGTATTGGACCAGTTGTTTTCATTTGCATTTATTTTACAAGACTTGTTACAGATTTTGTAAGGCATGCCTTAAAGCAGGGGTGGGGAACCGTTTTTCTGCCAAGAGCCATTTGGATATTTATAACATCATTCTTAGGCCATACAAAATTATCAACTTAACAATTAGCCTGCTATATTTGGTCAAACATTTAAATAACTCATCCCCAATGGCTTGGTAGGGCCAGACCAAATGATTTCTCAGGCCTTATATGGCCCATGGGCCAGGATGTCCTCCAGCCCTGCCTTAAAGTAAGCTACTTAAATATGTTTCTTCACATTTTCCTTTTCAGTTGAAAGAAATAATTTGATTTCCTCTGTGGTTATTTTTTTTTATCTTGCAATTGATAGTAGTTTAAATCATTGTACTTGGATGTAGAAAATACTATTAGAATATCAAATATATTCCCCCTTTATTCTGCTTTTGCCCTCCTCTTCTTCTCAGACACATACTACCCAGTATGATATCTATGGCTGTGTAAACAATATTACCACCAACGTAGTAGCTTAAAACAATATATACTTGTTATATCACAGTTTCTGTGGGTTAGGATTCTGGTCATGGCTTAGCTGGGTGCCCTGGAAGGATTCAATCAGGGCTGTTAATGAGGGCTGGGTTCTCATCTGGAGGCTCAACTGGGGACAGGTCTGCTTCTAAACTCACAGGCCTGTTGGCAGATTCAATTTCTTGAGTTTGTAGGATTGAGAGCATCTGTTTGGGGCCAGTTGTAGGCTGGAGGCTGCTCTCAGGTTCTCGAGTTTCTTGTGTTGGGAAAAGCTCCCAAAGTCTAAATTTAGGATCAATTCCAAAGAACTGACACATAGCCTTATCCAAATTCATACGAGCTTTAATAGAAGAAACTTACATACACAGGCAAAACAGCTGCTCCCTAGTGGGGGCAGGCGAGGAAAAATTCATACCCCTCCCAGGACAAGGTCCCCTTTAAAAAGGGGTTAATAGCAAAGGTTAACAGCAAAACCAATTGGCATAGAGACCTCCTGGTAGAACAATGAATCACTAAGTTAAAAGACAACATCAGGACGTTACTATACTCTCTACATTCATTAACCTCCTTCCTGACGGCATGATGTTTGTCTTTGAGTGGCATTCTGGTTTTTGGGGTAGTCAGCCATGCATGAGGTTCCAGAGAGTTAAATAGTCACAGAGAGTCCAACAGTCACAGAGAGTTCAACATCTCCTAGATGCCTTTGCTGGTGGAGCCATATTGCATCTCTGAAGTGAGTTCCCCTACATTTGTCATGTGGGCTTCCCCATCATGGCTGCTTACTTCCTCTAAGCCAGCCAGGGACTGAGAGATTCTTGCAAGACCAGTACTACAATCTTAAAAATGTAATCATATACATGTAATTATAGACATCCTCTCATCTTTTTCATATTCTGTTGGTTAGAAGCAAGTGACAAGTGATACCTACACTCAAGAGGAGGGGAATACACTGGGCATGACTACCAGGAGGCAGCAATCAAGGGGCTATCTTGAGTCTGACATCCTGGTGAATCTGAGTAGGCTTATTCTCAGTGTAGTTTGCTTTATTTATGTAGGAGAAAGTCTTCCATTATTGAAGAGGTCACCCATGATTTAATTTTAGTTAGTTAAAGAACATTTATTGATAAATGCTCCTGTCCTCAAAGAGGCTAAAGTAGGAGAAACAACGTGCAATCATGAGAAATACAACTTCATGGAATTGGGATAAACTTAAAAAAATAGCTTTATTGTAGTGTAATTGACATACAATAAACTGCATATACTAGTATTTAAAGGGTGCAATTTGATTAGTTACGACATATGCATACACCTGTAAAATTATCACCACAATTGAATGACAAACATTTCTGTCATCCCTCAAAAGTTTCTTCATGTCTCTCACCACCCCTTGCCTCAGACACCCATCTGCTTTTTGTCACTTTTGACAAAATTCTAGGCAGTTTTCTAGGATTTTATATAAATGCAATCATGTAATGTGTACTCTTTTGTGTCTGGCTTCTCTCACTCTGCATGATAATAACGACAGTCATCCACAACATATTAGTATTACATTTCTCTTTATTCTGAAGTTTGGACATACCAAAATTTGCTTATCTATTCACTTGTTGATGGACATTTGACTTGTTTCCAGTTTTTGGCTGTTACAAATAAAGCTGCTATGAACATTTATATACGTCTTTGTAAGGATGTATGCTTTCATTTCTCTTCTATAAATACCTAGGAGTGTAATGCCTAGATCATTTGGAAGATGTATGTTTAACATTTTGAGAAACTACTAAACTGTTTTCCAAAATTGCTCTATCTTACATTCTTTGAGTTCCATTCATTAACAGTTGGTGTGGTCAGTTTTAAAATTTTTTACCATTCTGATGGGTATATAGTGGTATCTCATGGTGGTTTAATTTATATTTTTCTAGTAACTAATGATGTTGAGTATCCTTTAATACTTTATTGGTATCAATATCTTCTTTGGTGAAATGTCTCTTTAAATATTTTGCTCATTTTCTGAAAATTGAGTTTTCTTGTTAATCTTCAGTTGTAAGAATTTTGAATACAACTCATTTGTTAATTTTGTAATTAACAAAAGTTCTCTTCCAGACTGTGGCTTTTCTTTTCATTTTATTTTACTTAATTTTATTTTAAAATTACAGTTTACATTCAATATTATCTTTTTATTTTCTTTACAGTGTCTTTTGAGGTGTAAAGTTTTAAAACATTTTTAAAAAAAATATATTTTATTGATTTTTTACAGACAGGAAGGGAGAGGGATAGAGAGAAACATCAATCAGCTGCCTCTTGCACACCCCCTACTTGGGATGTGCCTGCAACCAAGGTACATGCCCTTGTCCCAAATTGAACCTGGGACCCTTGAGTCCACAGGCCGACGCTCTATCCACTGAGCCAAACTGGTTAGGGCAAGTTTTAAAAATTTTGATGGAAGTCCAGTTCATCAATTTTATCTTTTTAGAATTTATGCTTTTTCTGACCTGTTTTTAAAAAAAATTTGTCTAACCTAAGGTCACTAAGATTTTCTTCCTGAAATTTTGTTAATTTTAACTTCCACATGTAGGTCTATAATCCACTTGGAGTTCATTTTTATAATGCATTATGATGTAAGAGTTAAGGCTTGTTTACTTGGATATCCAATTATATCCACACCATTTTGTTGGAAAGATTATTCTTTCCTGATTGAATTACCTTGGCTTCTTTTTCAAACATCAATTTTTCAACATATGTATAGGTCAATTTCTGGACTGATTAATGCGTCTGTATTTGGGTACTGTAGCTTTATGATAAGTCTTGCAGATGAGGTAGTGTCAATATTCTTTTTCAAAAGACAGGATGATTACTAGACTAAGTGAGGTGGTCACACTGTAAGGCATAGAAATATTGAATCATCTATTATACACCTGAAACTAATATAATATTGTGTGTAATTATACTTAATTAAAAAAGCATTAAAAAGAGGAGTCTTAAAAAAAGAGAGTAGTCTTTTACTTTCCACTTTTTTCCTTTCCTAGAAGCACTCACTTACCTCCCTAGTTACCTAAGTATTTTGGTATTTACTCAGTAAATAACATGCTCATACAGTATTTTTAAATATTCAGTGTTTATGGGGTTATGACTGTTATTCAGAGATGAACCTTGTTTTATACTATCATTTGTTTCCCTTGCCTGTATAGCTTTTATTTCTTTCTAGTTAATAATTGTCTTCTTGTTTATTATTTTTCTACATATTTATCACTAATTTAATTTTTATTGATTGCTGAAATCTCCTTTGAAGATGTTCAAATATACCAGTCATCCAGTTCGTTTCATCTTGTTGAAGAAATCTCTCACAGAGCATCCTGATTCCTCCAGTATGTACTGACTGCCTTCCACATTCAGTGTAGGGATCAGCCTGAGATCTCCCTTCCACAGCATCTTGGGAATTGCCCTTTGTGTCTTTTTCTTTTGTGTTGCCACCTCTCTTTCCTGCATGCTTTTCTCCTCTTTTCTTGGTTTGCTCTCTTGTTTTGGTGATCATATAACCCCAGAAAGCTTACTGAGAAGGGTACATGGGGGATATCTGAAATGTCTTGATTCTACTCTAACATTTAAGCAATAGTTTAGCTGTGTGTAAGCTACTAAAATGGACAGCAATTTTTCTCAGCATTTTAAAGGCATTTTTTATTGTCTTTTAAAAATGTTTAATTTTGTGAGAGAGAACCGAAGATGGCGGCATAGGTTAATGCCGGAAATTGCTGCCTTGAACAACCAATTCAAATTAAGCCTGAAACAGGTAACGGACAACATCCAGAACCACAGGAGGGCTGGCTGAGTGGAAATTCTACAACTAGGAGTAAAGAGAATATCATATCCAGACTCAGAGGAGGCGCAGTGCTGAAGTGAAATTCTCAGGTGTGGAGTGCGCGCGGAACGGGCTGGCGGCGCGGACAGGCGGTTGTTGTTTACAATCGGGAGGGAGCATCAGACTCTGAGCTCC